TGCTGTGGTGCCATTCTGATCTCACTCAGACTGACGTCCGGAATTTTATCGGAATAGTTTAGAACAAGACTTGCTCTTGGATCGTTACTCACACTTGAATGTGGCTCCAACGATGATGTGTACAACTGCCCATAGAACCTCTCAATCTCACTCAATATCTCAGGTGTCCCGGAAATGACGCTGCCACACTCGGTCTTGAGCTTCGATAGTTGGCTCTTTCTGGCAGGTAGATCTTTAGCAAAGACTTTAGAGCCCTGGTTCCGCTCGATCGCTTCTTCAATACGAACAGTATTAAAGTTGAATAAGTCCTGCCGCATGCATTTGGAGATCTGTCTGTTCAGTTGCCTGTATGCTGTTAAATCTACTGAAGACTGCAGCTTAATTTCCCATCTAACAGCCATGAAATTAAGAGTGTGATCGGAGAGTTTTGTGTTCTTCTGCGGCGGGTCTTGCAAAACTTAGGTCCAACCGCATGGACAGTTAATATGTACCTCATACAACGCGCGTTTAGTATCGCTGTTGCAAGCGAGCGATGTACGTCGAACTCGACATTCAAAATATGCATCTACTGCTCGGAAGGAGTCAGACGTTAGGAAACATCAGTTTGCCGCATCTCAACAGCGTCGGTAGCGGTTCAACGGTTAAGCGCGTTTCCAACGGGAGGCGTAATTCACATATTGGCAGTTCGGACAATAACAAGCCTTCGACTAGTTCTAATGGACCTTATAGCGGTTGGCATAAGTCACATATTACATCGCAATGGCAATTAAAATCAAGTTTTGTTGCTTCGCTTCCTAAGTTGACGGACAAATTGTTTTACCAACGCTTATAATTGAAATAAAATCGGCGCGGAATGAATTTTTAAGGGCGTGGGCCTTGTTATATCTCGGTTCCCAAGTTTCTATTATTCGAAACGATTTTTTTGTAGACTTGGGGTTAAAGCGACATTACTTATTAAAACCATTAGTGGATATTGGTGGCGTTCGGGCAAACAAGGGTCAATATAGTATTAGTTCATTTTCGTTGTGAAAAGTCTGATAAAACATTGTTATCGTTGGTTTGAAAAAAACGAGTTATTTATTTCAGAGATTAAATATCTCTCATGACAAATTAAAATTTTCTGATAATGATTCATATAATACGTTGCAAATTGACATTATTTTTGGGTGTGACATTTTAGATCAAATTTTTAATAGGTCTAAAACGGATTTAGGTACAAATGAGCACTATGCTTTAGGAACTATTTTAGATTTCGAATTTTCGGTCTGGTAAAAAAGGAAACCACTCCAGTTTCAAACAATGTTTTGGGTTAATATTTTGGGTGCAACTCTTCTGGAAGCGGTAGAAAAGTTTTGGCGGACTTAGAAACCTCCGAAGCTTCAAATTAGAGATCCGGTGAATATTGAATGTGAAATCCTTTTTACATCTACGAACTCGTGCGGTTCGGACGGTAAATACATTATTCGGTTTTCATTAATACCCGGTCGTCAACAGTTAGGTGACTACCAGGACACGCCATATAGGCGTTTTATGGTTCTTGAGCGACGGATGCAAAAAAGTCCCAATTTGGGGAAAAATATATAAAATGTATTAATGAATACATTGCACTTTGGTATATGCAAAAATCGGACATTATCTTCATCATGGCGTGTTTGAGTCGGTTTCGGGGAAAATAAGAGGCGTTTTTGACGACAGCGTAAAAACTTCAAACGGCATATCGTTTAACTACTACTTATATTCGGGAGAAAACCTACAAAATGACGTCACTAAAATTATTTTTTAAAATTAGTTTTTACCACGGATATTAGAATGATGTTTCGTCAAACAGAGATACACGCGGCGGATCAACAGTATCAATTAATTTTGTGGCGCAAATCTTCTGCGGATTACATCAACACGTGCACATTCACGTTGCACAATCACGTGGACTGAAAGTTTGTGTGTCACTTCAGTTTTATAACAAAAATACTTACAGAATTTTAAATTTCGATGTATAAATAAATAATAACTTAATAAATAACTTAAGCTTAAACTAATATTTTGCTTGTAAAATATCATTCTGTAGTACGTACACATTTTATAGTTTTCACTCACCACGTTTCACTTAAACCAAAGTCACTCACGTTCACACAAAGGTCAGAAGTGCCCTTTTAATAATTATTTTTGATATCTATACTTTTTTTTAATCGTGGCGATATTTCTTGAGTATACTTATAAATGTTTATGTATAAAGTTATTTTACAATATACGATCAAATTGTCAGATAATCATTTCTTATGTGCTTAAAATATATTTATTAGTAATATTTCAAAACGGTATGCCATCCATCCAACATTCAATAATTGAACCATGAAACTATTGCACTAACAGTCTTGTCAGTTTTGACGTTCAATACAAGCACTTGACAGGGTCATTGAAAGGACAGAGGCAAGCAACTGTCACATAGACAGCTGACAAAAATGTATTGTAATTGAGATTAAACTTTGTTTTATTTTTCGTTTCATTAAGTGTTTATCATGTAAACGCACGTTTATAAATTAATATTTACATGTATATTGTATACACGTTTACATGTTTACATGTATAAATGTAGTGAATACATTAAAAATATAATAAATGTTTTATAACCCTAACCAACACCAATAATTAATTTATTTTAAAATCTGTTTTTGAATTAATATTTTAAACGACAGAATATGTACTACAGTTGAATTAAGAATTAAATTTTATTCCATTCACTTTTCAGTACTGGTTTAAGTTTTTTTTTATAGGATCGAGTGACAAACGAGCACACAGTCCACCTGATGGTAAGTGGTTACTGTGACCCATAGACATCTACATCTATCCTCAAGATGCAGATGCGTTGTCACCCGTGAGGACTAAGATGGAATGCCTCTTTGCAAGTAAAAAGGTTCTCCGGTTCTCTACACTCACCATACGAAACACAGCAGCGTTAAGCTGCTATTTTACGCTGGTTTCCTGTGTCTTTCCCCGGTCGAGCCGACCCATTCGTGCTACAACCATAATTCATTTAATTTTCAAGAAGCACGGTCCTTAGTCACGTGAAGCTATCAAACTTGCATATTTCATCAGGTTGTTCCATCAAGACTTGCCCATCACTGTATTTGCTAGTACAAGGTTGCCACTTGAGAACTTTTCTTCCCCATCGGACTGTAGCGTATCAGTTGGCTGAATTGGATAGTTAACATTGCCACTTGCAATGATCCGCTGATAAAATAATGCTACGATATTTAATAGAATTATAATGTAAATTTTGTATAATTAAATTTACACATTTATTTTTTTAATTTAAAGAAATAATACATCGTGCTTTCTAAAGTTCTTATTTTATTTTATTCAGTAGAAATTTTGAATTTATTGCATATTTCAACTAACTGATTCAACGTGTGAAATGTTAAATTGTAATGTGAGGATTCTTTGTGGAAGTGAATCTTGTAATAAAACAAATACAATGTAAATTCGAGCCAACGTATTTAACGGATGATATTCATTGATATAGGCATTCGATGCAGGTTTACTTGTTGCAATTTCATGTTAAAACTACATGAAATTTCTACTTAATATTGCAGCACTGAATAAAATTTGTGTGGATTTTTTGTCGTTAGCAAACCATGCATTATACCGATGAGAATAAATTAGAACCACAGATAAGAATAATCACAAGGTCTTGTTGTATAAACCAAACGTTAACGCATATCTCATTATTACTGAATAAAAAAGTAGAATAACAGACCACAAATAAATATGGCAGCATTATAATTACAACATGCATGTAAACCTAAGGAAAGACAGAAAAGGAGGCGAAGTTATTATTTACATACATAATAAAAACATAAAGTGTCGACTACTATAACCAAAACTGTGCATTTTGAGGGAATACTAACAAAAATAATCACACTCACGAAACTAACTACTATTTACCGCCCGCCTAACTTAAGCAACACCTATTTATATACGAATTGCAGCAATCATACGACAAAATTAATAAACGCGAAGAATTTTTTATAATAGGTGATTTTAAACATCGACCTCGCTGTGGAAATTCCTATAAAACATAAATACACAACAATATTCTCGACTTAAGGGCTTGTGAGTGGGATCTCGGAATATACTAGAATGGAATTAAGAAATAATTAATTAGTTAATCATGTACTGACCATATTAGCACGGTCCCACTCGCAAGACGTATACACTGCGACACTTCGAACCGCACTGGCAGACCACTGTGCGATAATATTCGCTTGTGATGGATCTCAGCACCGTATAGAGGCGGCTCCTAAATTTAAAACATACTTTAACCAGAAAAACGTTTCTGCCTTATAAAACAAAATACATTGAGTGGGACTCAACTAAGTGTTAGTTGTCCCATTGAAATATACAAATTTATAAAAGATAACTTTAATAGATGCTACAATGAAGCTCTAACACCAATTCAGATAAAAAGTAAAACATGAACGAAGGCAGAAAATAAGTGAGTTAATAAAAGGACTAAAAAGGCATGTGAAAATAGTAATTATTGTTTTTTCGACTAACAAACTGATACAAAAAATTGGTACATAAAAAGGAATATATATATATGTATATATATATATAAATATAATAAAAATAACCAGATGAGACTTTAGGCAAATACGGACAAGTTTTTCCATCTATATTATAATATTAAAAGTAAAGTAAAGTTACAGCATATATACGTAACCCACTGCTGGGCACAGGCCTCCCCTTATTTCTGCGAGGGTTTTAAGGCAAGGAACTGCCCCAATGTGTGTTGGCGAACTTCACATGTCTTCGAAATATATTTTTTCTTATTCCTCAGACATGCAGGTTTCCTCACGATGTTTTCCTTCACCGCCGAACACGTGGAAAATCAGCACTTAAAATTGTAATTTACAATTTCATTGATGCCGGCGGGGATCGAATCCGGTTTGCTCGCGTACTGTGAAATTTACAGCGAGCGCTAACTATCTGAGCTACCACACTCACTTATATGTGAGACCACACTCACAATCAAGCTTGTATACTCCTGCATCTTGTAGAGGAATATTGCACTTGACGGATGGTAAGAACTGACTAATCTTCTTCGGCGGCTTGAAGAATGTTCTAATAGAAGCTCGCTTCAAGATGTAGCCAATCTTGTCTGTGACACCTCTGACATATGGTAGTACAGCAGGCACACGCTCGACTGTGGCCGGCTTCACTCGGTCACTGTGACGTAGGCGCGGAACCCGAAGCTTGTTGTCGTGCAGAACCTGCTTGACGTGCTGAAGCTCGGCGGCCAGGTGTTTGCTGTCACAGATCCCTCGTGCTCTCTGCAACAAAGATTTGCCCACGGTAGCTAACTGTGAAGGGTGATGGTGGGATTCACCGTTTAAGTATCGGTTTGTATGAGTCTTTTTTCTATACACAGTGTGACCTACGGTGTTATTAGGATTTCGAATGACTAACACATCTAGGAAAGCTAAAGAATTATTTGCCTCTAACTCCATAGTAAATTGAATTTTAGAGTTTATGGAATTAAGATGTTCTAAAAATGCAGTTACTTTGTCTGATGGTAAAATTGTGAAAGTATCGTCTACATACCGCTTGTAGAAACTTGGAGTTATTGGTGCAGTAAGCAGGGCTTTCTCCTCAAAGTCCTCCATGAAAATATCGCCGACAATGGGAGATACCGGTGAGCCCATCGCAACACCATCTACTTGCTTGTAAAACTGTTCCTTCCACAATAGGTAGCCAGATGTAAGGCAATGTCAGAGTAATACTGCATATTCTGCTGGCATGTTGTTTTCGTAGTCCTGAATTCATGGAAGACAGCTTTTGTCCACCCGATCCCTAAAAAAGGCGACCGCTCAGACTCATCCAACTATAGGCCTATCGCGATCAGCTCCTTGTTCTCCAAAATAATGGAATCCATTATTAACTGCCAGCTCATCCGGTACCTTGAGGATCACAAGCTGATTAGTGACCGCCAATACGGTTTTCGTCGGGGTCGATCAGCTGGTGATCTTCTGGTCTACCTGACCCATAGATGAGCGGAGGCAGTAGAGTCCAAGGGGGAGGCGTTGGCCGTTAGTCTGGACATTGCGAAGGCCTTCGATCGGGTTTGGCACAAAGCGCTTCTTTCGAAGCTCCCTTCCTATGGGCTTCCCGAGAAATTGTGCAATTGGATCACCAGCTTCCTTGCAGATCGGTGCATCAAGGTCGTTGTAGACGGTGCATGCTCTGACTACAAGCCTATTAACGCTGGTGTTCCACAAGGCTGTGTGCTATCACCAACGCTGTTTCTTCTGCATATCAATGATATGTTGCTAACTGGTAACATTCATTGCTATGCGGATGACAGCACTGGTGATGCTCTATACACCGGCCGTGCCAATATTTCTCGGGGAAACGTCGCTGAGTACCGGAACAAACTTGTGTCTGAAGTCGAGTCTTTGCTGAGCAAAGTCTCGGATTGGGGGCGACTAAATCTAGTCCAGTTTAATCCTCAGAAGACACAAGTTTGCGCGTTTACCGCTAAAAAGAACCCGTTTGTCGTATCTCCTCAGTTTCAAGGCACTCCCCTTCTTGCCTCAGCCAGTATCGGTATCCTCGGAGTCGACATATCGAGTGACGTGCAGTTTCGTGGTCACTTGGAAGGGAAGGCCAAATTGGCCTCTAAAAATCTTGGCGTGCTCAGCAGAGCGGGACAGTATTTCATGCCGGCACACCGCCTGCTACTTTACAAAGCGCAAGTTCGGCCTCACATGGAATACTGTTCCCATCTCTGGGCAGGGGCTCCCCAGTGCCAGCTCCTTCCACTTGACCGCATCCAATGCAGAGCGGCTCGAATTGTCGACGACCGAGCCCTTTCCGATCGGCTCGATTTATTGGCACTGCGAAGAGATGTTGCATCCCTTTGCATTTTCTTTCGCATCTACCATGGGGAGTGCTCTGAGGAATTGTTCGGATTAATCCCAGCCGCCAAATTTTACGAACGCACATCGCGGCAGAACTCCCGATACCATCCACACCATCTGGATGATTGGCGGTCCACCACTGTGCGATTTAGAAGATGTTTTCTTCCTCGCACGACCTCCTTGTGGAATCGATTACCATCAGCGATTTTTCCGGACCGATACGACTTAGGGACCTTCAAGAAAAGAGCGTACTCCTTTTTGAAAGGCCGGCAACGCATCTGCGATTCCCCTGGTGTTGCAGTTGTTCATGGGCGGCGGTAGTCACTTACCATCAGGTGAGCCGCATGCTCGTTTGCCCCCTCTCCTATAAAAAAAAAAAGACAAAGTAACTGCATTTTTAGAACATCTTAATTCCATAAACACTAAAATTCAATTTACTATGGAGTTAGAGGCAAATAATTCTTTAGCTTTCTTAGATGTGTTAGTCATTCGAAATCCTAATAACACCGTAGGTCACACTGTGTATAGAAAAAAGACCCATACAAACCGATACTTAAACGGTGAATCCCACCATCACCCTTCACAGTTAGCTACCGTGGGCAAATCTTTGTTGCAGAGAGCACGAGGGATCTGTGACAGCAAACACCTGGCCGCCGAGCTTCAGCACGTCAAGCAGGTTCTGCACGACAACAAGCTTCGGGTTCCGCGCCTACGTCACAGTGACCGAGTGAAGCCGGCCACAGTCGAGCGTGTGCCTGCTGTACTGCCATATGTCAGAGGTGTCACAGACAAGATTGGCTACATCTTGAAGCGAGCTTCTATTAGAACATTCTTCAAGCCGCCGAAGAAGATTAGTCAGTTCTTATCATCCGTCAAGTGCAATACTCCTCTACAAGATGTAGAAGTGTACAAGCTTAATTGTGAATGTGGTATCTCACATATAAGGCAAACAAAACTATCAATAAAAACCCGCGTAAAAGAACACATAGCTGACGTGAAGCACCAACGTTCCGGGAAGTCTGCAGTTTGTGATCATATCCTAGACGGCCCCGCCATTACATTAGATTTGATAAACCACAAGTCCTCGCGAAAGAACATCGATTCCTGCCAAGGATGATACGTGAGGCTATTGAAATTAAAAAACATCCTAATTTCAATAGAGAGGGAGGCTGGGTACTACCACCTGCTTGGGATCCTGTAATTCATAAAATTAAAACTAAACCCAAGCATACCACTGCAAGACTTCAAGACACAGTTTGTTCATTCTGCGTAGATCGGACCAAAATTAATAATTAAAAAGCTGAAGGTACTCCGGGTTAACTTTGACATCGGGACGTCAATCACCTCAGTCTCCCGTGACCACGGTTGCTGGAAAGCAACCGAAACGTCGGGAATATAAAATAAGTTAACTAAACGCGATAAAATCCGTAAAAATAGTTTTATTCAATGTGTAGTGTTCGCGTAAATATAAGAAATCATTAAAAGTCAGTATGGTTTTCAGCAGCATAAAAGTACCACTCGACTTTTATCTACTTTCACTGACGACATAAACTATTATCTTTATAATAAAATACATGTTCTAGTTGTTTATATTGACAATAGTAAAGCGTTCGACACCATAAGACATTATTTACTGATTGAAAGACTTGATGAATGTGGACTTCGAGGACCCCTTCTGAGTTAAAGTAGGAAATTCTACGAGTATAAAGCAAACCGTCACCTAACCCAGGGCTCTGTGCTTGGGCCTTTGCATTACTTGACTTATGTTAATAATGTTGACAGTGTCATTAAAAACTGCAAGACCTATCAGTTTGCAGACGATACCTGCTTACTAGCGGTGGAGAAGGACATAACTGTGGCATTACAGAAATTGCAAGAGGATTTCACCAACCTTATGAAATGGTCTCACGATGCAGGTCTAATTCTGAACGCCATCAAAACAAAACATTTCGTCCAGTCAAAATAGAGTATCAGTTCGTATAAAACTCATTGCCCATAGCCACCAATGTCTTCATAATAACATGTCTAACCAGACTTATAATGGTAATCATATGGATATAGTAGAATAACAACCTAGCCTTGGATTCTAAATAGACAGTCTATTTAAATGGACGCACCATATTAATAAAGTGTGTGATAAGTTAGAGGCTATACTTGTAAATTTTTTTAATTATTAAATATAAAGTTCCCTATTTTATACTGTTATCCCTCTACAAGGCTTTGTCAGAATCTATAATACAATACGGATTAAGTACCTATGGTAGAACCTGGAAATCGCATCTTTATAGTATCCATGAATTACAGCTTAAAATCATGAAAACAATTGTCCCCCCTAAAATCAAACAATAATAAAAGAATAACTACAACAAATTATTCAAATTATGCGGTATCCTGCCAATAGGCAGAATACCGCATAATTTGAAGAGATTTAAAAAGAAGAGAAATTAAAACTTTCTTTATTTGTTGAACAGTTCTTTAATACAAAATTGCAAATCCTACCTATGTATAAACACCAGCTTAGTAGTATGTATAACCCTAAATTAATTATTGCTAAAACACAATATATGAATGGAGATGATCAAAATAAGATTAATATTCCTAAATTAATTAATAACCTACCTAAAATCTTAAAGGAGGATATCAATCCTAAAACTATTAAACACAAATTAAAAACGTACTTTATAAATCAGCTAATTTAATAACTAACATAATATAACTAAAACTAATACTGAATACTATTTGTATACTATATACTATATATTATATACGTATACTACTTGTTATATAATTACTATATATATATTTTAAAAATATAAAATAATTTTCCTCCGAACAACCTGTATACTACTATAACCAAGCCGTCACGACTACTCATCCTCATGTTATTGTTATAGAAGCGAGCGAACAACCTTCTTACTCTAAATAATATTAAAATGTTTACGCTCGAAAGTACGGCGAACTGCAGTGTGCAGAAAAATCTTATATTAGGTTTATGTTGAACTGTACTTATGAATTGTGTGTAATACTCGTATGTATTTTTGTTGTAGTACAAAAAAGCATGTCTCATTATTATTCCCTTTCTTTAGAATTATAATTGATGCTAGGTCACGCTTGGTAGGTGGGTGTGTACCTATTTTATTCCTTTCATAAAAAGATAATTAACCGCCATCTCCCGGAAGTCATATGATCTTTCTAGCATATCCCATACTTGCCTCTTACGACAACCACTTGATGAAATGGGGTGGATGGACTGTCTTATGGCCCATATGAAATTATTTAATGAACTCGTAAATGAGAATATTTTTTTCCGAATTACTTTAAAACTGCCGTTTCTTCTTACAGAGGGAAGAGTTAATAGTAAGAAGTAATACTTTATCATCTACGTTTCTGGAAAATAAGTTAACTGAGGATAATGTAAAGATTAGTGAGTTGTTTGCAAAAACATTTCATCAATTGACCATAATGCGGCATCATCTACTAATGTGTATAACTGTAACATAAAAGATACTGAAGATCAGTTGAATACCTTAAATCATCTAAAACTAAATGAATTAGAAGTCTTCATCAAATTAAAAATAATTTTTTATACAAGGGACCGGGATCCGATGACATACCACCAGTTTTCATTGTCAATTGCGCTAAACAATTGTCACGCCCCCTTACCATAATATTTAACAAGTCTCTAAAATCGGGTATCTTTCCAGCACGTTGGAAAGAAACGAAAATTGTGCCAATTCATATGGATGGCTATAAGCGAGACATAAAAAATTATAGACCGATATCAA